ATGAAGGTTCAGTGGAGGGGTCATCCAGTCTAAGAGGCAACTTCGGAGACCGAGTATGATATGCACTCCTGTTATCCACACTTATTCACTAGCTGAGGTACTTTTTATAACTCCGTTTGAAGACGAACGTTTGTTTTAGAGGTGGAGAATGTGATGACCCAAAATGTCATCTTTAAATTTAATGATTAGTTCTATGTTCTAAGACCTCGAAAAGCACTATTTAACATTACTCGACTTGCGTGCGCATTCCGTAAAATTTTCCGGAAAGTTTTTATGCGAAAAATGAATTAAAATGTGAATTAGAGCTTTAAAACTCAACTAAGTTGACCTTGGTCAACATTTTTAGCAAACGAACTCGGATCAGTATTTTGATAGTTTCGGTAGGTCCGTATCGTGATTTGAGACTTGGGCGTATGCCCGGAATAAAATTCCGAGGTCCCTAGCCCGAGATATGGAATTTTGAAGAAAAAATTAAAAGTTTAAATTCAAATAATGACGGATGTCGAATTATATGCAAATGACCCCGAAATAGAATTTTGATAATTCCAACAGCTCTGTATGGTGATTTTGGATTTAGGAGCGTGATCGAAATTTTATTTGGAAGTCCGTAGTGAAATTAGGCTTGAAATGACTAAAATAGGAATTTAAGTTTAGAAGTTTGACCGGGGAGTTGGCTTTTGATATTGGGGTCGGAATCTAGTTCTGAAAATTTTAACAGCTATGTTATGTTATTTATGACTTGTATGTAAAATTTGAGGTCAATCGGACTTGATTTGATATGTTCTCGCATAGTGTGTAACAATTAAAAATTTTAAAGTTTATTAGGCTTGAATCTATGTGTGATTCGTGTTTTAATTATTGTTGGATGTGATTTGAAGACTCGACTAAGTTTGTATAATGTATTAGGACTTGCTGGTATATTTGGTTGAGGTCCCGAGGGGCTCGGGCGTGTTCCGGATGGTTAACGGATCATTTTTGGCCTTGGTGAGATGGCTGATATCTGTTGCTGCAATTTTTCTGGTTTCCTCTTTTGCATTCGCGAAAGGATCCTCGCGTTCGCGAAGAGTGTTCTGGGCTGGTGAGATTTTTGTTCTACGCGTTCGTGGAGGAGAGGACGCGAACGCGAAGGGTAGGGCAGTGTGTGCATCGCGAACGCGTGAGTGGCGTCGCGTTCGCGAAGGAGAGTGAGGCAGCTGTAAACCCCAGTCTTTTGTTCTACGCGTTCGCAAGATAAGGGACGCATTCGCAAAGGTTTGTGTTTGCAAAGCTTCGCGTTCGCGAAGCGTTGGTCGCGTTCGCGAAGAGAAAAATTTGGCAGCACATTTTTGTGCTTCGCGAATGCGAGACAAGGGTCGCGTTCGCGAAGAAGAAATTAATGGACAGAATGTTTAAGTTCAAAAAATGGATTTTCCATTTTTAACGATTTGGAGCTCGGATTGAGGCGATTTTTGGGAGATTTTCAGAGAAAATATCAGGGTAAGTGTTCTAAACTCAATCTTGGGTAGATTACCCAAATCCATCACTGTTTTTAACATTTAATTAGTGATTTAAGTTGAAATTTTTTGAAAACCCCTCATGGATATATTTGAGGATTTGAGCGTCGAATTGTTATTGGAATTTAGTCATTTTGGTATGGTTAGACTCGCGATTGAATGGGCGTTCATATTTCGTAACTTTCGCCGGAATCCGAGACGTAGGTCCCACGGGCCATTTTTGAGTTAATTTCGGATATTTATTGAAAAATATAGTATTTTCTTATAGAATTAATTCTATAATTTTTTTTGACTTTATCGAATTAATTATGACTAGATACGAGTCGACCGGAATAGAAAAATCGAGGAAAAAGCATACTACTTGGTTAAATTGGAGCAAGTCGAGGTAAGTGACTTGTCTAACCTTGTGTGGGGAAAAGTTTTCCTAGGATTGAAATTAATTGTAATGTGATGAAAGTCGTGTACACGAGGTGACGAGTGTGTACACGGTCTAAATGTGAAGGATTATGTGTTTAAACTATGAAGATCATTGTTTCATATTAATTAAATTATTAAATCTTGTTATATTCTCCATCATTGATTTGATTTGTATACTTTAAATTTGTTTGATCTTTTCCTACTAATTGTTTTACCTGTTTGGTTGAAACTTGATTTCTTTTATTCTGTGCATTATTTGAAATTGATTTTCTTTAAATTAAATATTATTAATATGAAGTATTTGACATTTTAAATTTGGTATTGAAGCAACGTATTAAAGATTTTAAAATATTATTTTGCTAAATTATTTATTCCTGAATATTTTTGTAAGATTTTTGTACTCATTGTGATGGAACCGTGGGCTCTTTATTGTGGAAAAATATTGTTGTTGATTTACTTTGGCAAATTAAAATATTTGGGCACTTGAGGTACAAATTGTGATATGTTGTGATATTGATACGCATGTGGTGGTATAAGGTCTGGGTATTGAAACGCATGCGGTGAGATAAGGGTGGCTTGATACGCGTGGCTAGTAAGGGGAACTACTAGAAGTCATGCGGTGTGATGAGGATGGCTAAAACGCGGGATGCTATTTCGGGGAAAAAATATTTTCTGTAAAATAAATTGTAAAGGCTCCCGCGGTGAGATATTGTGAATTTAATTATGATTTGGGACTACGAGACGGTACCTCGGTAGTACCCTTGTTGATATTGATTTATGGTCGTAGTTGTCTATGATTTTTATTGTGATTTTTCTTAAAGTTGAAAAGAAATTTTGTTTTGTTTCCACGAGGTATTTATTTGCCATTATTTTGTGTAATTAAATGTGACATACTACTTGATTTATTTTCATAATCATTTTATCTTATTAAATTGTTTATACATTTTTCCATGTCATTATCTATTCTCCAGTAGGGTCTGACCTGATCTCGTCACTACTCTACCGAGGTTAGGCTTGGCACTTACTGGGTACCGTTGTGGTGTACTCATACTACGCTTCTGCACATCTTTTTGTGCAGATCCAGGTACATCTTACCAGTCTAGACGTTAGTGAGTTACCTGCGCACGGAGACTTCGAGGTATATCTGCCAGTGTCCGCAGACTGCGGAGTCCCCTTCTATCATTTTTTATATTATTTTCTTATTTTTCTTTAGACCTTGATACATAGAGACATTGAGAATAAATTTTTAGAAGCTTGTGACTTATTTCTACCGGGTTTTGGGAGTTCTAATTATTTGAATTGTGGTTTATTTATTTCAGATATTTATGATTATTCCGCATTGATAGGCTTACCTGGTCTTAGAGACTATGTGTCATCACGACCTCCTACGAAGGAAATTTGGGGTCGTGACAGAGTTATAGTAATTCCCGCCAAAAGAGTATTTCTACCAACTTTCGGTAACACAAAATTGTGTCACCAGAAAGCATGATGATTATCTGTATAGGGTAAAATATGCTATGACACGTGGCCGCCCAAAAGAGGGACACGTGAAACCCAAGACGGGGGATGGCCAAGACCGAAGACAACTGTTTCGTTTGTCACCGGAAAGAATAACGCTCATAAAGATGTGATGAATACTCTTTACCCGGTAGCATTTAATAGAGAATATTCCGTGGCATTAAGAACGATTGCCCGTTATAGGAAATTTGGCATTTATGTTCACCGTTACATCTTTATCAATGACCATCATAATTGACATTAAAGAGGGGCACGATCCTAGGACCTCCTTCCCTAGACGTAGCTATAAATAATGAGCTCAATTATCATTATAGAAGGGAAATTTTCTGACAAACTCATGCAACATTCTATTCAACGCTTTATACAATCTTATCTTCTTGCTTTTTGATTTTATTATTGTTGTGCCCGGAAACCCTATTTCCGGAACTGCTATTTCTGTTATTTGGTCCCAATCTCAAAGCTAAGCATTGCATAATTCTTCAATTATTTTATTATTTTAGGATCAAATTAATTCACTTGTCTAGAAACCACATATAAATTCAAGTGTATCGTTTTACGGGTAAACAATTACTCGTTTATATAATCTGAAACTGTGTGTCTGTAATGTGAAGCTGAGTTCAATAGCAGAGCCCTAAGGCACCGCCACAAAGAGAGACATTTATATTTATATTTTGTACAAATTAGAAAAGGTCGTAATTTGCTAAAGATATGGACACGTCAAATTGTAAATTTATCTCGTGTCTTAACCAATCTACTCAAGATTCCATTGGTGCAATCGTCTGGTAAATCTGATTTGTTTTGTAATTTAATTCATAACTTTCATTTGGATATATATTGATTTAAGATTGTATGAGAAAGGGGCAGTAGCAGGATAGTTATTTCGGGTAGAAAGAACAAGTAAAAGAGAAGCGCGGTACCTGACACCGGCTCCACGTTTCTCAGTAGGTCTCTTTAATGTGGACGGGAAGATTCAGTCAATGTGTGGAGACGTAATAAACAATTTCAAGTCAACTCGCTTTGACGGATTCTCAATTTATTGCCAAAACAAAAAATAAGTCGTGTGAACGTTTGACCTCCCGTAGCTCCAACTTTTTGTTCGTTATTTGAAGTATCACAATAAACAAAAAAATTATACTAATTCTACCTAGGTAATTTCACTTTATTCCATGTCGGACTACTCTTATAAATACAAAAAAGAAATTTATATTAAATTATTTGCTACCTAGTTGATTTTCCTATCTTTCATTGTTCAATTAAGCGTCTCTTCCAAAGAAAAAAAAAAAGAATAGCATGGTTTTGATCAACTAAAAGGCACAACTGATGAGCTTTAAATTTTTTCTTTTTCAGGCTTTAATACGCCCTTCTGTTAAAACATCGTTTTGATCAACTAATTCTTGCAAAGACATTCTACCTAATTTTACGTTTTAGAACGGGCATTTCTCAATCGTATGATTAAAGGAAGTTGATAGTCCCGGCATAGTGCTCTTCTTCTTTTTTGGCAAACAATTTAAATAACTTTTACACATTTAATACATACAAGTTAAATTCTTACAAGAAATTGCATTGAATGTAAGAGAAGTGCCAAAATAGTAGAGAAATTAACCAAGTTGTCGAAATTTGTCATGTAGCTGCTGTTGCCTGCCGCGTCCTTATTTTTTGAATATCTGCTCCCTCGCTCCTTCCCACCGTCCAAAGTCCAAACTAGACGCCCACATCTCACCTTATAAACGTGAATCCCCCGCCATTCACTCTCTACACAGTTTCTGCACAGTCCACTCTTCACAGAACTCCACACTTTGAACCTCGGGAAACATTGTATTCATACTACAGTACCTAAAAAAAAATTCATATAGGGATCATTCCATTTCTTCTACGTATATATCTGAAACTAAGTGATTGGAAAGTCACAATGTCGGTGACGTCGAGAATGCCGGAGCTCCAAATGCACAACAAATGGAAAGATAGAGAAATCAGCCCTGAACGCACTAAAGTTTGGACTGAACCTTCTAACCATAAGCTCAAATCTGTCCGCAAAGTACCGGTTCTTTACTATATCTCCAGAAACGGCCAACTTGAACATCCCCATTTCATGGAAGTTCCTCTTTCCTCCCCTGATGCCCTTTATCTCAGAGGTACGAATATTTCCATAGCTGACGCAAATCATATAGCGTCTGTCCATATGATTTCAGATGTTCTGAACTTTTTCTTATGGACATTTTATTCAGATGTAATCAACCGCTTGAATTGTCTTCGTGGAAAAGGCATGGCCTCTATGTATTCCTGGTCTGCTAAAAGGTTAATTCTTTTGCATTATTCCATTTTTATGTCTGTTATCGCCATTTTCATTCATAGAGCTGAAATGAATTTCGTCTTGCTTTTTTTGGGCGATTCAGAAGCTACAGAAACGGATTCGTGTGGCAGGATTTGACGGAGCACGATTTTATATACCCAGCACAGGGTCAAGAGTACATTCTGAAAGGATCACAGCTTCTCGATAGCGCATTACCTTCACAACCCGACGAAATAGCATGTTCTGGTCTGAGAAATCCGGCGCCGGAAGTACGGAAAATCAGCGAAGATCGTGAGTTTCCGGCAATCCCAAGGCGTCGGAACCAGTCGTGGACTTCCTCCGATTTCCACGAATACAGAGTGTACAAGGCAGAGTCCACCGGCGAATTGATCGGAAGAGCCTCCAGCGACGCGTCGACTCAGACAGACGATCGTCGCCGCCGGCGAAGAGCAATGCGAATTGTCGAAGAAGATGAAAAGTTGAGAGAAGACCGGACCGTTGAACCTGACGTGGTCGAAAAGAATCAAAAACGGTCGATGGAGCTGAAGAGAGGTGAAATTTCACCACCACAGTCGGATTCAAGCTCTGAAATGTTAGAGACGTTGATGAAAGCGGACAGGAGAGTGATCTTACGGCCAGATACAATCAGCGAAGATCCGACGGTTAATATTCAATCAAGTGGAAAGAGTAATAAAGCATCTTCCGTTCTGAAGCAATTACTATCTTGGGGTTCCATGTCTTTCAAGTGTGGGCCCGGTTATGGCAAAGAAAATCGATTTTCCATAATTTCACAATATAAATCGAGACTGCCACGTGTTAGGGGCTCTAATCAAGTGGAGAAGGATGTAGAGAGTCCAATGGTGGAATATCATGGAAGTGAAGAGATAATTAAGTTGGAGGACAAAGAGTACTTTAGTGGGAGTTTAATAGAGATAAAGAAGCAGAAAATTCCAGCTCTAAAGAGATCGTCTTCGTACAATGTGGAAAGGTGAGTATAATACCTCTTAGTTACTCTATATAGTACTAGTGAACCTTTTCTTAATTTGTTTCTTTATTCAAATTGTAAATAATTATTGTGAATCATTCCTTGTTTCTTTGTTTATTTGTGTATACTATGTTGCTTCGAGAACGTATGAGAACACCTGCGCTTCGATCCCAAATAATACGTTATTAGAAAATATCGTAAAAGTTAAAGCTATTACTCCTACAATGAAGGCATCTTATTCTCATATCATTAACATCATTTTGGAGCTCTTCACATGATAGTAGTAGAGAAGTCAGCTTGATGAAAAATTGAGTTAAGGCAGATAGTACATGTTTAGTAGGCTCGTTGCAAAAGAGTACAGTATGTGGGAAACAGGGACAGGAGTAGAAAACCTTATCTTGGTGCCCCTATTGCTTAAGTGGTCAGGGCGGAGCAAGAAGCTTGAATGCGGGTTCGCTCTAACCTAATAGCTTTTGCTTAACCTAATAGCTTTTGCTTAAAACAGTGTGTTTGTGTTTAAAAGTTTATTAAATATATATATAAATATTAACTTTAGAACCCAATTACTAGTACTTGAAATTATCGTTTTAAAATTCAGAACCATAAAATTACCTCTGAGGGGTGGTAGGTAAATGATTAAATATGAAGGTTTCTTGCGGTGGATTATTCTGCAATCTGCAGTATTGACGTGGGGTTACAGCTATTCAATTGTCTTCTTACACAAATTATCGGGACTTTCCTATACCAAGCAAAACAGAGCTTTAAGTCAGTTTATTCACCACAACACGCCAATTACTTAATGACTGGTAGGAGAACTCGTGACTGATGTACGTGAAGAATTTTGCCAATTTTATTCGACTTTTCGACAGGATTGTCAAGATCAGAACTTTGATCCTATCAAATCTTATGTCCTGTTTTCTTGATTGAAATCTGCATTTCTTTCCTCTTGTAATTTATATTAAGGCACTGGCCAATGTTAGAAATGGCTAAATGAATTCTTTACTGCCTTCACAAATGCTACATATCAACATCCACTTCGGTAATCATTTAGAAGATCATTAAATTAAAGGTTCTCTTCTTTTTGTTCACCTTGGTTTACAAAAAGATCCCTTGACTTTATAGTCCTACATGCACTGCTATATATCCAATTATTGTGGGGTTCCTATATTTCATCCTACATGAATATCTCCATGGATTCATTGCTTTCACAATCCTCTATGAACATATGAATCCTGATTCTTTTTCTCTGTCTGATATTGGTCTGCAGGAGTACAAAATTGGAACTGACTGACAAAAAAGGAGAAATGAAAACAAATGCATTCTGAGAAAGCAAAAGAATCAGTCAACCAGAAAGGAAGAAAACAGTGACTTGTCTTGCAGTAATTACATTATAATTGCCACTGTTTCTATTAATATATACTAGCTAGTGATCAACATGGTGCGTAACAAGATAAACAGATGATAGTGGTTATGCCCCACGTCTAGAACTTACAACATAAGCAGTAGATGATTAGGAAATAGGAAAATTCGTGGAGACAATATCTCCTGATCTCAGTTGTAGTTTTTGTAAATTCATTCATGAAAGGCTGAAAATTCGTGGAGTCAATATTATCTCCTGTTTTAGGAATTTGACAAAGCTTCTTTTGGTTGAAACCGTCGTTTGTGTTTCTTGATTTTCTCTCATGATGTTTGATATCCTAAAAGAGTACTCTAGAACTTTGATTTGCTCTTAACATTTTGTGAAGGATCTCCAATCCAAGACTCAATTCATCAAGTAGGTATCAAGTACCGAGTGCTGAGCACAGGTAGGTACTACCCGTGCTGAAGTTTTAAGTATTGGTTGGTACCGGGTACTTGTTTCAAGATTTTGTATAGTAAGAACCGAGTATCAATTTTTCTGCATGAGCAGGTATCAAGTACCCGTACAGAGGCTCTGGAGTCTGGATATACCCGTGTAGTGACATAAGTTATTTCTTATATGCAAAATTTCATAATGACTTCCTTCTCCTTTCCCTGGTACTTCATAATTTACGTCCAGTTTATTGACCACTGAATTAGTATATTGAAACAATCTAAATAACAACTCACCAGCTGATAGTATTGAACCTCTCCAACAAAATTACAATAGTCTTGCAATAGATAATGTAAGGAGAAAGAAGGGGGATGAGGACAGAGATAACAGAAGGAGGTGAGAGGATAGAAACTTTCTGCAACAAAATAGTGAAGCCTACTACTGATTACTTATAACTAACTTTGGCCCTTTCACATGCTGCTTGGCACATGCCTCTCTGCACGTTTTCTTTTCCCAGCCTCAACAACAAAATCCACTAACTTTCTAGAGGGAATTTTCATATGCTCGCTCTTCCTTATAGCAGTGGCAACAGGTTGATTATTCTTGTCCTCCATGGCAGCCAAGGTGTCACCTATGTCAGTAGTATTCATAACATATATCCTTACGTATACTCATTGTTCTACCAACATGTAAACTCGAGCACCTAACACGAGCAAAAGACAAAGAGGCAGACTTGGGAAAATAACCATATACTAGCAAAATAACAAACCAACTCAAACAAGACCAATAAAATTTGGATGGGCAAAAAAACCTCATCCCTTTTCATCAGAGGCGTATCCAGAATTTTGAGAACATGGGTGCATCATTATCTTTAAGATAGTATATGCAGTTTCTTGTTCAATATATTTTTTGGTAACTAAAACAAATTTTATTTACCAACTCAATGATACGTACAACTAAAAAACAAAACTGAAACTTGGACGGAGGTCCCAAGTAACAGAAGCCAAAATTCCTTCGCATAAATGCTTTTTCCCATGGATTTCAATCTTTGACTCGGCCAAGCATTTTCTCAAACACAATATGTGCACAAATTCAATAAACTATCAAAATTCAAGACTTCAAACTTCAAGGAGAGAGAGAGTAGTTACATACCTGAGAATTTTAAAGGAACATAAAGTGATGGAGAAGAAATTGATGCTTTCTTGAAGAATCCACATTCCACAGTCACATAGAGCCAATGGAGAGAGAGAGAGAGAGAGAGTTGAGAGGGAGACATTGTATTTTGTTTTTAGGGATTTGATCGATTATACCCAAATCCCCACTCAAAACGTGGGATATGTTTTTACTTTTTAGCCAAAAGGAACTTTTAAATATTAAAAAAAAACTTAATTAAAAAAACATATAGAGACTGAGAATCGAACTCTTGACTTGGGGGATATGTTTTTACTTTTTAGCCAAAATGAACTTTTAAATATTAAAAAAAAAAACTTAATTAAAAAACGATATAGAGACTCGGAATCGAACCTTTGACTTGGGGGACTACAGGGGCACCAACCTACCAGTGAACTAAGGTAATAAATTTAGCATGGTTGGACACAAATATATTTATATAGATAATTTTAAAATTTTTAATGTTTATCCATATTCTAGGGAGGGGAGCATTGGTGCATGGACCCCACTCCCTCCACATAAATCCGCCTCTGCTTTTCATCATCATCTTCCCATCTTCTTCAACTGCTTCATTACTTTTTAATTCTGTACATTCTCACCTGACTCGAAAATGGATTCCAAGAACCAATATTTAAATGACCCAGGAAAACGAATATTTCAAGGAGAACAACCACACCCACTGTTGAATTTGACAAGATTAATGTGAATTAGTGTGAACATTTAAAGCCTCTTTTTGGAAGAAATTGGTAGATGCATTTTTCATGCATGTACATTACATGATCACACTTAATATGATGTCATGCATGGCATTATTAAGGCCATTTCCCTTCTATAAATAGCAAGGGTTTTGTTCATTTGTAAACATCTCCCACTTGCTTTCTTATCTCCTAAGGCATTTGAATCTTCTTTCTCTCTTATTGTATTTCACTTGTATTTTTTGGAGTGAAATAAAGTTTGAGTTGATTGTGTCTGAAGACTAGGCAAAAATCAAATTTTGCCGAACCTCATTAATTTCTGGTGTTCTTTTTATTATTGTCTCATTTACTATTTATTAGTTACCTTTAGATATCGTAGTTGTGATTTAATCACTCTCTATATATTCGACTTTCGCAACAATTAGTATTAGAGCCAAGATTCTATCTTAGTATGCTCTGTGGTTGCAGCATAGTCTGAACTTTCACATCATAAAAGAATTACTTTGGTGTTATGTACTGTCAACAAATAAATAGTATCTATAGCAAAATGGGAGATAATAAAAATGAAGAGTCCACATCGGGTGTCAGTAATACGTCGTTGGCATCTTCGCTTATGATAAGAATTATGTCAAATGCGAAATTTGCAGTTAAAATTTTTGACGGGTCAGGACATTTCGGGATGTGGCAAGCTGAGGTTCTTGATATCCTTTTTTAACAAGGGCTAGATATTGCCATAGAAGAAAATAAACCAGATAATATCGGAGAAGGAGATTGGAAGATTATCAACTGAGTTGCTTGTGGTACCATTCGATCTTACCTCACAAGAGAACAGAAGTATCCATACACAAAAGAAACTTCTGCAAGTAAATTGTGGAATGCATTTGAGGATAAATTCTTGAAGAAAAACAGTCAAAATAAACTTTACATGAAAAAAAGACTGTTGCGCTTAACATATATGAATGATCACATCACCAGCTTTAATAATGTCACAACCCAAAATCCCAACCTGTCGTGATGACGTCTATTTCGATACTAGGCAAGCCGATAATCTCAATAAACCACAATTTCTCTTAAGTTTGAAAATATAATATTTAAATACAATACAAAATCACACAAATACTGATATGAACACTTCCCAAAATCTGGTGTCACTGAGTACATAAACATCTAATATGGATACAAGTCAAAAGAAAACAGTCTATAATAGTCTAAGACCAAATACAGTAAACAAGGAGATAGGGAAGGAGAGACAAGGTCTACGAAATACGGCAGCTACCTCTGAATCTTCGAAAAATCAATTATGCGAGAAAATCAACACCCGCTATGTCGAGAAGTACCTGGATCTGCACACGAAGTATAGGGTGTAGTATGAATACAACCAACTCAGCAAGTAACAATAATAAATAAGGAACTGAAAATAGTGACGAGCTATACAATTATAATTCATTTTCAGTAATTCCAGCAAAGAATAGACATGCTTTTAAATCCGGCAGTTTAAGTCAAATCAATTTTATACAATTCAAGTTCATGTAATCCGGATATAGAATCTTTCAAAAATTTCACCACAACAACAGATATCAACTAAGTGCATCAACCAATGAAAAACAAGTACAACCTCTCAGGATAACAATCGCTCACTGGGCTCTCAGCCCTCAACACTCACTCTCAATGGGTACACACGCTCACTGGGGGGTTTGTACAGACTCCGGAGGGGCTCATACAACCCAAGCGCTATAATCTGCACGGCTAACTCACGTGATGCACGGCCAACTCGCGTGCCATAATATAAATATCTGGATCTACATGGCTAACTCACGTGATACACGGCCAACTCACGTGCTATAGTATAATATAAGGATCTGTACGGGCAACTCACGTGTTGCACGGAAAACTCACGTGCTATGGTATAATATCTCACTATCAGGCCCTCGGCCTCACTCAGTCATAAAGCTCTCCAGTCTCTTGGGTTCTCAACAATCATAAAATCAGCGCAAACAACAATGTATGATACATCAATAATGAACAATAAAGACTGAGATAAAATAATCAAGTAAGGTGTGACTGAGTACAAAACAAAAATTTAAGCAGATAATTCAACATGTACACGGCCTCTGTGGGTCTCCAACAATACCAACATATAGCCTAAACATGGTTTCTAGCATGACTTATAGTCAAGTTTCCACAACATATAGAGAGCACATAACTATCAACAAGTTATTCAGCTTTACAGTTTCCACGGGACGGACCAAGTCACAATCCCCTCGGTGCACGCCCACCGCCCGTTACCTAGCATGTGCGTCACCTCCAAAATAATCACATGACACAAAATTCTATGGTTTCATACCCTCAGGACCAGATTTAAAACTGTTACTTACCTAAAAACGTGAAATGCTTTACTCTGCTATGCCTTTGTCTCGCAAATCGGCCTCTGAATGCCTCGAATCTAGTCACATTTAATTCGTTTCAGTCAATAAAATTTATTGAAATTAATTCCATAAGAAAATATTAATTTTCCATAAAAATCCGAAATTTAGCTCAAAAATTGCCCGTGGGGTCCACGTCTTGGAACCTGACAAAAGTTATAAAATCCGAAAGTCATTCAACCACGAGTCTACCCATACCAATTTTACCAAAATCTGACCTCAACTCGACCCTCAAATCTACAAATCTTATTTCTAAATTTTTAAGTTCAAATCTCCGATTTACACCTCAAAATCATGTAATCTAGTCAGATTATTCGATGATAATTCAATATTATGGAGTAGAAATGATCACAAGGGACTTACCTCAAGTTTTTCTTGAAAATATATCAAAAATCGCCTCTCATTAAGCTCCAATTTGTCAAAAATGGCGAATGGGACGAAGTCCTTGCTTTATTATTCTGCCTAGACAGCCCCCAATCCTGGGCCTTCGATCGTGTTCCTCGATCCTGGGCCTCGATACTG